CGGGGTGGGACCTGTGTAGTATCTTAGATGGCCACTCACAAGCTTTTAAGACCCCAGATGCTACTCACCAAAGTAGGATGTAGAACATTTTCTTTATAAACTATGTTACGTCAATTGAGCTAGATGTCCCGAAACCATGGTCCCCAGCCCTCAGCCCAGTAATTCAATCCATCAGGGAGTTTAGATGTGTCTATGAAGCTTCTATGACTTTGCCTTGGTCAAGTTGTGCTGACTTTCCAAGTTTTGTGTACTGTCTTAAACTTCACCAAAGTTACCACTGATCTATTGTCTAGTTAGTACACCATTTTGCTTTTATCAAAGACCTACATTAGTACATGTTTTCACTAACCAAAAGAAATCCAAAGAGGATTTTCACTTTTACGAAAAAAGGCAAAAAGCAGAAATAGCCTTTGTTTTGCAGTGAGCCCCTAATTAAAGAGGCAGGGTGCACCCCAAGCAGTGAGAGTGGTATCGCCAAGCTCCTTCCCCAGGAACTGTACTCAGCATCTCAGCTTTCACTATATGTTAGTGTTGTTTTAGGTTTTATGTGTTATTTGGTATGACTTAGCAGATTATTTTTTGGGTCTGGGAATGCTCAAAAAATTTTCCCATATAAATTAATGGTAATTGCTTCTTTGCTTTACACCATTTCGGCTTACGAAAGGTTTCATAGGAACGCCGTACTTTCGGATAGTGGGGGAACCGGTATATATTTTGCCAAAATAAAAATGTTTTTAAAAATGTAACTTTGATGTCAGCAGGTACAGCTTTGCCCCTCAGAAATCTAGATATAATTCCTTGGCCCATGTGGAAGGCCAAACCCTTCCCCTTTGGGGTTCTGCAAGCTCCTGCTGGTTTCCTTCCTCAGGCCTGATTCTGCATACTTTGCACCGTGGACAGAAGACTCCCAGTCCTTCAGGATCCCCCCAGACCCTGATGGAACAGGAGAAAAGTAGGGTGCAGAACTCAAATTCTAGTAAAAAGACTAGACTTAATGGTCTGACCAAGACTGGAGGAACCCCAGAAGGCATGGCCCCTGGACTCTCTGTCAACCCAGAACTAAAACCATTCCCAAGGCCAACTCTTCAGACAAAGATTAGACTGGACTATGGGACATAAAATGATACTTGTGAAGAGTGTGCTTCTTAGCTCAAGTAGATACATGAGACTAAATGTGCAGCTCCTGTCCAGAGGTGAGATGAGAAGGTGGAGAGGGTCAGGCGCTGGATGAATGGACACAGGAAATCAGGGGTGGAAAGGAGGGGTATGCTGTCACAGTATAGGAAGAGCAATTAGGGTCACATAACAATGTATGTATAAATTTTTGTATGAGAGACTAACTTGAATTGTAAACTTTCACTTAAAGTACAATAAAAAATAAAACATTCCCCCCAGAAATGTATTCTTACACAGATTTCAAGAACCAGGCGGGCTTTACCGACAACTCCACAGAAATGATGATGGAGGGGATAATATTGCAACACTGCAACTTTTCCAAGCACAAGGGGCATCACCCATCTCAGAAGAGCCCCCAGCCCAGTCCCTATTGTGGAATTTCTTTTACTGCCCTTACAACTCATCCCAGTTTCTTGTGCTCCTTCCCAATGTTTTTTCCTTCTCTCTCCTCTCCTTTTAGAATCAAAAAGCACAATTCTTCCCCCTCTGCCAAGCAGAGCAACCTCTTCCCTCCTCTGAAACCTTGTTCAAGGCATTCTTAGAACAAAGACAGCCTTCTTACTAAGAGAAATTATGGTGAATAAAATTTTCTCCACCTCATTACACATACAAGGGTTGGAATCTTTTTAAAGCTTGATCAGTTATAAATGGCAAACAAGTAGCTGCAAAGCTTCCTCAAGATGAGTCTATCTACTGACTCAGCTACTGCCCCTCAGAACCCGGTCACTATATGGCTTAGCTGTTCAGGATCTTTCCAGCTCAGGAAACCAGCTTCCAGAGTCACTCCCCTCAGGTCCGCCATTATCCTCCTACCCTCACAGACAAGGAGCCCTGGTGGCACAGTGGTTAAGAGCTTGGCTGCTAACTAAAAGGTTGGCAGTTCGAATCCACCAGCTGCTCCCTGAAAGCCCTATGAGGCAGTTCTACTCTGTCCTATAGGGTTGCTATGAGTCAGGATAGACTCGACAGCAACGGGTTTGGTTTTCTCACAGACAAACAGGCCCACCCCAGATCTCCTCCAACTGGGCAGCTGTCACCCCACGTTCCCTCCCAGGACACCAGCCAGAAGGGACCTCCCCAGTATCTCCACAGCTCATAGGGGAGGGGCTCAGGTAAGAACTTTTCCCCTCAGCACCCGAAATTTCTCATTGCTTTGATGGAGATAGCTTTGCTAAGCAACCTGCCTGGGCTAGAGTCAGCAAAAGTTAAGTCCACTGCCTACCTGGCCTGGAGGCCCCACTCATGGCCCTTCCAGAGTTTTTAGGGACTAGAAGAACTTCTGTGGGCAGAAACTTTCTGAATGCATGGCAGGTTGTGCTGGAAATAGTCCCAAATGGGGTGCAGAGGGCAGGCGAGGTGTGTATGTTTCTGGAAAGCTCATCAGAATTTCTGATGAGGGAAGGGAGCAGGTGAAATTTGAGGAATATTCTAAAATTGCCATCGCTTTGGTGATGTTCTAGTCAGTATATATTTAACTGGTTTTGACATTTCAATTAATAGTAAAGTATGACATTTTTGTATTTACTGATAGAGGAAACCAACTAAAAATGGTTTAGTGATGTATGAGAACATCGGGGTCTTTTAAAATGCAAGAGTTGAAAAAGATGTGGTACAAGAAGGAGAGTTGTAAAGTGAAATGGTCTGGGAATGGAAGGAGGGAGAGGTATGTAGCTAGTCATCTCTCCCCAAAGCCACTGCCTGCTTGTGGTAATTCTGAGGAGCACTGAAATGCCTCCCTACCTCCCAAGCCTCCCTCCATCTATCTCTCAGTGTGCCTCAAAGTCCACCATTAGCACCTCTAGACTTTGAGTTAAGCACTGGCCACTGCTGACTTCTCAATCAAGCAGGTGGCATTTGTGTTGGGATTTTAGGACTGCAATTGTACAGTTTTGCACAGTTCTGGAACTTTCTATTAAGACACATTACCTAGGCTAGGTAAGTAGTTTCTCTAGTATAGTGCTATTCCAAAATTTTTATGTAATCACATAATAACTCTATTAGATACCCCAGACAGAGCCTAGAAGTACAGTAGCTTTGACTTCAAGAGGTGGTAGACCTAGAAGAGCAGATAAGGCCCAGCAGTAAAATACCTGAGCTCTTCATTCGTGCTGAGATACAGTAAGAAACCACATAACAGGGTAGTTTCTACATTTCACATTACTGGACTACTTTTATCTAGGATGGTCCTAGGCCCAGATGCCCAACAAGCCTTGTGCTTCCTTCCATCATGGCTTTTCCCTCCTAGAGCTAATCAGCTCTGGGCCTGAAACAAGTCAATGCTCAACACAGAAAAGATGTGCAGTGAAGTCCTGTTCACTTGGGAAGCAGACTCAGAGGCTCAATGACTTGCTCCAGGGTTTGTCGGGATCCAGGGTCTGAGTTCAGGCCTTCTGTCAGCTAACTGATCTTGGATAAGTTCCATTAACTCAAGTTACCTGAATACGAGAGCAAACTAGCTAAGAGTAAGGGTTCTGGAGACAAGCTTATCTGAATTCATACCCTGACTCTACCATTTGCCAACTCTGTGACCATGTACATGAGATTTAACTTCTGTCTGTCTGTTTCCTCATCTATAAAATGGAACTTATAGGGTTGCTTTGACTTATTCTGATCAACTAATGCATGTAAAATGCTTATAAGACTGCCTGGCTCACAGTAAGTGCTTAATCAATATTTGCTATATTTTATGTGCACACATTCCCATATGCATTTGTAAGTACATATAAAAAGCCTATAAGACAAATCTCTTAGAATGACTATAATAAAAAAATTTTAAACTGACAATATCAAGTGTTGGTGAAGATGTGGAGCAACTAGAACTCTCATACATTGCTGATGGGAATGTAAAATGATACAACTACTTTGAACAACAGTTTGGCAGTTTCCTATAAATACATAGTTACCATATGAGCCAGCAATCCCATTCCTAGTTATTTACCCAAAAGAAATAAAAACATACACCCACACAAAGAATGTTCACAGAAGTCTTATTCATAATTGTCAAAAACTGGAAACAGCCTAGGTATTCATCAATAAGTAAATGGATAAACAAAATTCAGTGGAATTTCCATTCAATGGAATACTATTCAGCAATAAAAATGGATGAACTACTGATACATGCAACAACATAGATAAATCTCAAAAGCTTTATGTTAATAAAGGAAAGAAGCCAGGAATAAAAGGCTACATATTGTAGGATTCCATTTATACGACATTCTAGAAACAGCAAAAATCAGGACAGAACACATCAGTGGTTGCCAGAGGCTTTTTAGGGTGATGGAAATGTTCTACATCTTGATTGTGGTAGTGGGTACCTAAATGAATACAGTTGTCAAAACTCACAGAAAGATACACCTAAAAAAGGTAAGTTATACCTTAATAAACCTGACATTTAAAGCCATTAATAGTCACCTATGAGAAGGCAGAACTGAGTAGAGAAGATGTATAAAGGATATTTTTTGTCCTACTTAAACATATCTGTATTGTTTCAACTTTTATAATGAGCATATAATCCATGTACTTGATAATAATTTTGTTAAATTTTAGATAATAACAATGATATCCACTTGGAAGGGATGTTGTGAGATCCAAATGAAATATGTATATAAAGCACATATCACAGTGTATAAACTCAAATATATATATGTATACTTATATATGCATATATATATGTATATATCTGGTATTTTCCTCTCACCTGCCACCACCCCCTTATCTTTTTCATCCCCTACCCTCCTTGCTCCTTCAGATGACCCACAGATCTTCTGAAGTGACAAAGTACAAAAGCCAAGGTGCCTCCATGGAGAGTGACAGCCATGACTTACCTCAGTGACAAAGAGTGTGCGAGGGTCGATGATATCCAAGAAGTGCCTGAAGCGGCCATAGAAGGAAGTCTGGAAAAGGGGGTGGGTGAGAAGAATAGATCAGTCACTGCACACCATCCTCCAGACACAGAGGACCCCACCCAGCAGCTCACCCTTATTATTCGGGCCCCACAACCCCCCAGATGACCCATAGGGGTAATAAATACCAACAAGTCCTCACCGCTCAGGAACCTAGGGGCAGCTTTCCCAGGTCTGAGGGCTTTCTAAAGTCAACTCAGAAAGACCACGAAGATTGGCACTCAGTGATCTTCTTCACTTCTTTTCAAGGTGCTCTGTTTTCCTCCCTCCCTCCCAACGACCTGAGATTCACTCTGAGCCCTCCAGAAGCCCCCCACGCACAACTGGGCATGTAGGCTGGAGATGAGGCCTCCTCTCTAGCCCTCTCTCAGCCTTCCCTAGGACCCACTGGGTGAGGGAGGGTCCCACCTGCCCCTCACAGGTCTTCTCCAGGGCCCATCTCAGGCTCTGCCTCTGGGGGGATGCTCCCCACTGCTGAGCTCAAACACGATAGCATCAGGCTTACAACCCTCAGGCCCTCTTTCACGCACAGCCCTGGACCTGCCAAGAGCTGCAGGACAGGGGCCAGCTCCCCAGAGCCTTGCCTCATAGCAGAGGCCTTGGGAAAGAGGGCTTTGTGCTAAACAGGCCACAGGCATTAGAGCACAATGAAAGGAAAACAAGCAATGCCTCCACTGGGCATTCTGCCCCGGGGACAAAGCCAGCTAGGCAAAGCTGGTCCCAACGAGAGGCGACAGGGTACCAAGTTAGGGGGTGGGGGTTCATGCCTCACTGGGCTCCTGATTCTTCCCTGGTGCCCCACAGCTCTCCAAGCATCACCCTCTGCATGGTGGAGGAAATAGAAGCCTCCATACTCCCTCCTCTTGCTCGCTAGACCATCGGACCCAGCCTCCAACCTCGGCTCCTTTCCTTTCCCAATAAAGGCTCTGCAACAGGCTTCAGGTCACCTCAAAGCCCCCATCCTGCCTCCACCTCTCTGCTCACTGTGGTAGTCCCCGCACGCAGCACCCTCTCCACTCTCTACCTTCACCCCCCACCCAGGTGCTGCCTTTCACAAGCCAGGTCAAGCTGCAGCACCATTCCTAACCCAAACTATTACTTCTCTAACCTCTTATAACTCAAATGGCCTAAACCATTTCCCCACTTAAGACGTATATACATGATGCTCACAGTGTGGGCTTGGCAAAATTTCACCTCTAAGAATTTAGTCTAAGGAAACAATCAGAGATGTTCAGAGATATGCTTAGAGGTATATGCCAAAGATGTTCACTGCTGCATTATTTATAAAGGTGGATGGTTACATAATGATGGTCAATTCATATGATTGAATACATGTAGCTATTTAACACCATGTTTTCAGACAATATTTATGACATGGAAAAAATGCTTATGATTTTGTGAAATGCAAATAAGCAGTATGATTGCAACTTAATAGGCAAAGAGATAAACAGAGCTAGGTGGATCTTGGCTGAAAGCAGAGAATACCAGAAAGATGTTTACCTGTGTTTTATTGACTATGCAAAGGCATTTGACTATCTGAATCATAACAAATTATGATAACATTGCAAAGAATGGGAATTCTAGAACACTTAATTGTGCTCATGAGTAACCTGTACATAGATCAAGAGGCAGTTGTTTGAACAGAACAAGAGGATACTGTGTGGTTTAAAATCAGGAAAGGTGAGCGCCAGGGTTGTATTGTTTCACCATATTTATTCAGTCTGTATGCTGAGCAAATTATCCAAGAAGCTAGACAATGTGAAGAAGAACGTGGCATCAGGATTGGAGGAAGACTCATTAACAACCTGTGATACGCAAATGACACAACCTTGCTTGCTGAAAGCAAAGAGGACCTGAAGCACTTACTGATGAAAATCAAAGACTACAGTCTTCAGAATGGATTACACTTCAACATAAAACAAAAATGCTCACAACTGGACCAATAAGCAACATCATGATAAACGGAGAAAAGACTGAAGTTGTCAAGGATTTCATTTTACTTGGATCTACAATCAATGTCCATGGAAGCAGCAGTCAAGAAATCAAATGACCTATTGCATTGGCCAAATCTGCTACAAAAGACTTCTTTAAAGTGTTGAAAAGCAAAAACGTCACCTTGAAGACTAAGGTGTGCCTGACCCAAGCCACGGTATTTTTAATTGCCTTATACGCATGGGAAAGCTGGACAAAGAATAAGGAAGAACAAAGAAGAATTGATGCCTTTGAATTATGGTGTTGGTGAATAATATTGAATATACCATGGACTGCCAGAAGAACGAACAAATCTGTCTTGGAGGAAGTACAGCCAGAATGCTCCTTAGAAGGAAGGATGGTGAGACTTTGTCTCATGTACTTTGGACATGTTATCAGGAGGGACCAGTCCCTGGAGAAGGACATCATGCTTGGTAAAGTAGAGGGTCAGTGAAAAGGAGGAAGACCCGCAATGAGATGGACTGACACAGTGGCTGCAATAATGTAATGACTGTGAGGATGGCGCAGGACCGGGAAGTGTTTTGTTTCATTGTACGTAGGGTCACTATGAGTCAGAACTGACTTGATGGCACCTAAAAACAACAGGTGGATATTAAATGCATAGCAAAAAGACCAAACAGCATCTAGATCCTGGTCTCTAATATCATTCCCCATGAAAACGAACCAGGGCTTCTTGAAGAAATGGCTGATTCCAGGGCGGGAGCAGGGAAGGTACAAGGTGAGACTGGTACATTTTGTTGTACCATAAAGTAGTGAAGTATTTCCAAAATGATGGAGACATGATAAAAGGACACAGGAACCGGCTTTAAGGGACTGGCCAAATCTAGGACAATTTGAGCATAAAAAGAATTAAGAACAGTGATGGATTATAACCTATTGAATAAAATAGGAATCCATGGTCTGTATTGATAATAAAAAGACAAACAATGGGGGAAGAAGAGCTCTTCCTTACAGTAGAAGGTGCACTGATATGTATGGAAGGGGTGGTGAGTCAGAAAACTACCTCTATTAATGATTGGTTCAGGCAAGACTCATCAGTGGATGCTAACCCTAAAGGGAAAGTTTGACAAGAGCAGGATATTTACATGGTCTTAAATTTTCTCCCCACAGATTGTGTGTTAGGCACAAGAGGGGAAAGAGTAAGCATACAATGGAGAAACAGGACAACACCTCGGCAGGGTGATAAAAGTTAACATCACCAGTGAGGTGCACAGTGTGCCTCTGGTGTGATACCCTGAGAAGTTCACACCATCCTTTACATAGTATTCCAGTGGGGCTGAATCTAACCATGAGGAAACATCAGACAAACCCAGATTGAGGAACATTCCCTAAAACAACTGGCCTTCTTCTTCATATGTGCCAATGTCATAAAGACAAAGGAAGGTTGAAGAACTGTTCCAGATTAAAGGAGACTAAAGAGACAACTAAACGCAATGTGTGATTCTGGATTAGATCGTGGACTAGAGGGGGAAAATGCTCTCAAGGACATTATTGAGACAACTGACAAAACTGCAATGTGGATGACAGATTAAAGAATTGTAACCATGTTAAGTTTCCTGAGTACAGCACAGGTACAGTGTTCATGTAAGAGAACACCCTCGTTCTTAAGAGATATACACTGAAGAATTAAAGGATAAGGAGCATGAATGAATGCGGCCTACTCTCAAACGGTTGAGGAAAAATAATGTGTAAATATACAGGATGATCATAAAATTTGTGGAAATGCAGATACTATTACTTTATTTATTTACAGATTAAAGATGTCCTTGATGATATCATGTATATTTACTATGATTCTGGACTTTATGATAGCCCAGTAAACAAAGAAAATAAGGGAAATGTAACGAAATGTCTAGATTGGGTATATACAAAGGTATATGGAAGTTCTCTGTACTATTCTTGCAACTTGTCTGTAAGACTGAAACTGTTTCAAAGTAAAAAGTTAAAACTTCTATTTTAAGAGGAGCTAGACAAAAATTCATTAAAATGTTAATAGAGGTTGCCTCTGGGTAACGAGGTTATAGGTGATTTTTATTTCTTTAACTTTCAAATTGTATACCATGAACACAAATTGCTTTTAAAAGTAAAAAATGGACATTATGTATAATATACAGAAGTCTAATTTTCTATTTTAAAACATATATTAAAACACAAACTGGTGTATTACATGATTACAAGCCCCTGAAGGACAGATGTGAGCTGCTGGACGTTCCCTCTGTATCCTGTTGGCACCTGGTCCAGTGTTACACACCTATCAGGGGATGTACAAATACACCTGCCATGAGAATGAATGAGAGGGCAGATGAGCAGCCAATGGGCCTTGAGGCTTCCTGGAGGAGGCAGAACTCAGGCTGGGCTTTGAAGGGAGGGTAGGATTTGAAAGGGATAGCAGTATGGCAGTCAGCAGTCCAAAGAAGGAAGAGGACCAGCAGGGGCAGAGGTGAGGATCTGGGAGAACAGTCTGAGTGAAGCAGCTTCCTGGCAGTAGTTCAGTAGGACCTTCCAGCCTCTGATTTCCTCTGCAGGTTGACACTGTCTTGATCTTGTCCCAGCCCTGCTCAGCCCTCTTGTGTCATTCTCTGCCACTGCCAGAGAGACCCAGTTAAAGCACTTTGTTCCACAGACATCTACAAATCCCTACAGAGCTAGGCTCAGGGAACACCACAATGACCAAGTCCTCAAGGAGCTCAGACTCCACCTAGAGAGAAATAAGTAAACAAATAACTACAAAACACTATGATCAGTGCTTAAATGAGACATCACAAAGCACAGTGGGGACACACAGATTATTTCTTCCTGGAGTGAGTTGAGGAGGCTTCCCAGAGGAAGGTGAGCTGCGACAAGGGGATGGATGAGTTTCCCAAGCAGAGAAGGTTATAAGCAAGAGCTTGAAGACAAGAATGCTGGGATCAGAAACAGTGCTAGACCCCTGTGGTCTATTCATTCACCAAATAGCTATTGAGGACCTACTGTGCACCCAGCACTGTGCTGAGTCCTGG